TTTCTCGCTGTGTTCAGGTTAACGCTGCCTTGTGCCTTGAACCTTGAAATTGGTCAAAATCGCCTCCTTCCAAATTCTTATCTACTCCTTTCATAATCATCTCCATGTCGTTTTATGTAATGTAACTTGTGTGATTGAAATGACGTCGTTAAGACTTGATCATTTAGTGCGCTGGCAATAAGGGTAAATTGATGGTTATGCAATTGTACATTCTTCGGTGGTCTTCGTCTGTATGCAATGCGGCGTAATACATTTTTGCGTGAAATAAATTCGTCGTTTTTCTAAGGTTCCTAAGCGACTCGTCGAAAGTTCATAATAGGTTAATAAGCATACGTGTATTTCCAGAAGGAGTTTAATTCGGGTCAGTTTTTACGGCCTATTATCGTATAAGGAGGGAGTGTTTCATGCGCATGAATGAATCTCTTCTCCAGAAACTTTTATCGGACATGAAATCAAGTTCGTGCAACAGAGGTCAGCAGGTGAAGTTTGTCATAGGAATTACGCGAGACCTTGGCGGGCAGTTGCAACTGCATTTGGCCTTAACATTGTCTCAACTTGACGCAACTTTTGTCACATGTTAATTGCTGATATAATCAAGATAGCGTGTAATTAGTTGAATATAGCGTTTGCCTTGAATGCTGGAGGGTATACCTCGTCTTACTTGATATGTGGTTGGAAGAAACAGTATTTCGCCCGTATTCTGATTCGATTACGGATGTCGATATAGGATAGTTTGTGAGGTATGATATATACGACATATCAGGAATTGGCTCTGCTGCTGTCTTTAGCTGATTGGATGTTATATGTTATTATAAGGACTTTTTTTAATAGTGTCGATTTGGATTGGACCAATTTCTTTATAATACTAGGCTAATACGCTATATAATTGCGTGACGTACCTTTGACTTACAAGCATCAAATTGCTATCTCTTGCAGAACAAAGTCTGTACAGTTGACTTAATTCCATTTGACTATTATAATTTGTTATTAAACGGTAACCAAGTTCTGACACCAAATTGTTTACGCGTAGTATTATTCGCGAACTTAACGTTTTGTGTCATTTAATGCTTGCCTGCAATGTACTGTCTTTTAGAACAGCATAAATGGCTCTCAAGGTAATTTATAAACTTACGTAACAAACTTTCAGCTTCTCTTTTGCTTAGCTTTTGTTAAAAGTACGAGCATGGAACTTGCGCGAACTTGTGTAATATAGGTTATCCGTAAGTTTTGTGCGTTGTGTAGTTAACCGAGTGTTTGTCGCTTTATCCGACAGTAAAAATCCTTCATAAAGATTACTCTGTCAAATCGATTAGCAGTTGTGGCCCAGTTTTAGTACCACAAAGTCATCTGAATTGACCAACTTCGATTTCTCGTAATGGTGCTGTTTGACGTATTACTGCTGAGGCCCGTGTTCGTACCCAGGTGAGTCGATGTTGGGATTTATGGTGGACAAAGTGACACTGGTACAGGTTTTACCATGTCAATTCTGTTGCGTAATATTCACTAATATTTTATATGGGAAAATGGCCCGTTAGGGGCCTAGCTCCACAGAGACGTAGTCGCATCCAATCTCAACAGTAAGCGTGATGTCTCATGTTGCAGTAAGTTGTTCAGCAGCTTTGTAATTATCTCGTAAATACATTCACGTGCTTCTTCAACATGTGGACCCTCTAGGTGCATGTACTGAAACCGCATGGTACTCATTCTGCGCTGGAGTTCCGATTTAAAAGCCATCCCTTTACGCGCCATGTAGGCGCACAGGGGAGAAGAGGTATTAGCTCCTCATTCTCAATCTTTGGCACAAGATGGGGTTAGTGGTCAGCATCACGGCCCGGCATGGACTCATTGGACACGAGGCTGGGTGGACTCCGAGAGCAGTTCTGGACGAAACGAAAACAGAACCTTTTACCTCAAGACTGCAATTGATGCACATTCACGAGACAGTCTGCCCGGAAATTTGTCGACTGGTCACATTGCCGATTTCACTACACACACATCAAACATTTATACACGGTACCAGTTATTTTTGGCGGAATGTTAAAACGCCGCGAACTAGAACACATTTATTGTTTCCTTCTGTTTTCTCTTAATATCTTTAGACGCTCATTACATTCTATTTTACTCCATTTATTTTTTGTAATTCGTTCAGCCCCCCCCCTCCATCTAAGGCGACCGCCTAGTTCGTATAATAGTTAAACCGGCTCATTTGTTTGTAGGCAGTAAGAATAAATTACGATTCGATTTAACGCTCGTTTGGTTTTAAACAGTTTCGCGTAACGCGTTAACTGTAGATGCTGCTTTCGCTGCGGGTCTCTTTAGATAGATTCAAAGTCGCAGCTTGAAGCCATTCGCCCATAATATGGACTTGATTAAGAAACTGACCTTGCTTATTAAACAGGTTACAGTTGTAGTACGATGCCCCTTCCCCTGCCGGCCTAATGAAACGATGCATTCTGTGTCGTCTTCTGATATCTCTTTTATGTTTTTCATTCACCAGTATGGCGGCGTTTTATGTGTCATGTGACTTAGGTAAACTCCATGTGATGGGCCAATCCCCATTCAAGGAATCATACAAAATGTTCAACAGACAAAACAAAATGCTAGCTCTTAAGCCGATCACAGTGGCCGCACAGTGTAAAGACCGTGAGGAATAGGGTAGTGGGTTGAAATCCCACTCGGGGCATGGGTGTATGTCCACGTGATGCCCTGTGTACGAGTATAAAGGCTTTGCAGTGGGTTTATCCCGGTACGAGGAGTGATACAAGATGCACACTAAGAAGAAGGATGTGATAACGTTATTTTAAGCTTTATCAGTCCATTGTATACGAGTGATGAACGTGAAGTGTAAGTAAAAGGCCTTTTTGTGCCGTATGTCGGCTCGCTAAATTTTGTTTCCTTTGAAGCAGTGTTTATAGCGTTTCGTAAATAGTTCAAATATAAGGAAACGCTCGCAACACGTGAGCAGTCTTCGCTGTTTCTGCGCTTGTTACAACGTGAAACATTTTCTTAAAGCAGTGTTTTTTGATTTTGTATATTTGTACTGAAAATTAGCATTTGATTCCGTTTGTTGATCTTCTACACATTATAGCTTGTTTTTAATGATCGAAGTTGTTTATGCTTTAAAGATGTGATGACAATTTGTTTAATTGGATCTGAGCCTAATAGGTCATTCGGTTTTAGAAGCTGGTGGATCAGATTTTAGGCTACTTTATATTTTTGCTTCTGTGGTTTAGAACAGAAGTGAAACCCGTCTGAAAACAGTTGGGATTACTATGAATTTACGCGAAGAATGTTGTGTATATTCTCAATATATTCTGGTTTGCATACTTTTGATGTGGCATGCCAGCCAACCTTGACCAGAAAGAGTAATTGATGGTGCCGTTGAAAATGGCGAATACATTGCGTTCTCTGATAAAGCTGAACACAACTGTCACTTCTGTCTCCCGGTTAGAACCACATGAGTCGCCGCTAGTTGCGACAAGGTTTTCCCTATACGAGTCGTGTATCGCTCCATAAGGACAATAAAATCAACTTGCCTTTTTATAGCAGTTCCTGCCGGGAGCTGAGAAGTGACAGTTGCGTTTAACTTTATCAGTGAAACTCACTGTATTATTTATAAATTACACATCTTTACGCTTAAGTTAATGTGTATTTTCATTACGCGGTCAAGATAAACGCAATAGAATTGTTAGGATAACTTTTCATGATGCTGATCCGTTTTGGATACGACGTGATCGAGCAATTGGTTGATGGATATAAAAAATTATAGAGATGCAATAGGGAGAATTGTTCTTATTGAATAAATTATTTTCATAATGCTAGATTTTTCATGAATGCAAGTATCACATTGTAGCATAACTGAGTGAATGTTACTGTTGTTTATCAGTGTTCATATTGCCCTATTCTACCACACTGGACCATTTCAGCAGATGAATTGTTCATATTTAATTTTTCTTGCTAACATAGTAAATGTTGATAACAGAGTTTACAATTTATTTGGGGGGGGGTCCCCCTCTCCTGTATTGTGATGTTAGGAGCCGGCAGCACGTCTGAAAGATCCGTAATTTCATTGCTTCAAAGATGGATTTGGAGGTAAAAGTAAAAATGAATCTTGAAATTGCAGTAGAAATCATTTGATTCCCACAGAAATAATTTGTATATATTACATAAAGTGATTGGTAGTATCAGTCATCGCCTTTATTAAAGCAAAGAATAATTTCAAATCTGTCAGTCTGATGACAGCCATTCATTCGCCTGAAGATAGAGTAGAGCCATCTGTCAAAATGTTGTGTATGGCAAACTTACTCTGTGGACAGTGGCCGTTGTTATATTTAGTATATGTATGTGTGTATTTCTGTTGTAGGAGGTATTAATTTCTTCAGCATCTGATATGACACTTTTATTTTTTAGTTCCTTACGTTGTTTATGATAGCCACGGTGGTCTAGCGGTTAGAACGCTGGCCTTGTAATCCTGGGGTCTCGGGTTCGATTCCCGGCGGTGCCAGAATTTATAACTTGTGTTGGGCAAGGCCGTGGTCTAGGCAACACGGAGTTTTCCTCCGGGGGCTTCCCCGGTTTCTCCGTGGCATCCCAACAATTACTCCATTCACACACAGAAGAAGGCAATGGCAAACCACTTCTGGATCAACTGCCAAGAACGTATATGAACAGGTCCCAGTCCGAGAAAAGGATGGAAGGATCCTGTTCATATGGACCTGTCGTCAAACAGAACACTAAATAAAAAATACGTTGTTTATAATAATTAATTAACTGCATTTCTTCAGATTTCATAAACTTCAACTTAAAACATAACAAATTTTACACATGGAAGATGTGTCATGTACGTATTTCAGATTTGAGCTGGAAGTCTTGGGTGCTGTAGTAATGGATGACATTAAAAAAATGCTTCAGTGTCGACTTATGATTTGGTATTATTTATTTATTTATTTATTGTCTGTCATGTCATGAGTTAATGCTTTGTTTTTCAACTTATTTGGTAGATGTCTTCCTGTTCCCAGGCGTCATGCGCCGTACTTTGGCCAGCCCGACTATCGTATGTACGAGCTTAACAAGAGGCTACAGCAAAGAACAGAGGTAGGAGAACGCTGCATCTCTTTGGTAGACTATCGTTCTTAACACATCCATCATCAGACTTGTTTAACTTGCATAACATCTGCCACAAAGTCTGCTTAAGTAGCAGAATTTGTGGCCAAGAATGTAATGAGAATTTTTGAAAGTTTAAAATATAAACTATTGAAAGGGCAAATAGCTGTCTGTGCCACGAAGACATGTAAGACAGTAGAGGGTTGGTCATGAAACTTTTCACATTCTTAAATGTAGGTGAGTGTAATAGGTTCACTTTTTGCTGATTAAACCTGTGAGGAGAAAGTATATTTTATCATAAGACCTTGAAAAGAATGAGCAGGGATAGCTCAGTCAGTATAGTGACTAGCTACGGGCTGGACGACCGGGGTTCGATCCCCGACGGGGGCAGAGGATTTTTCCTCTAGCCCCTGCGTCCAGACCGGCTCTGGGGCCCACCCAGCCTCCTCTACAATGGGTACCGGGGTCCTTTCTCGGGGGTAAAGCCGGCCGGGGCGTGATGCTGACCACTCACCCCCGTCTAGTGCCGAGGTCAAGGAAGAGAGGAGCTATACCTCCACTCACCCCAAGCGCCTTTATGGCACGTAGCGGGACAAACTTTACTTTACTTTACCTTGAAAAGAAAACCATATAAGCTGCTAGTCTATGTGTCTTAGGTCAACATAATTGAGAGCAGTAACTGATGAGCAGCAAGAGATATGATCACCAATTTTGAATAATCGAGTTACTCGAGGCCCCATGGAGATAGTTGTAATCAATACGCCCATTGCAGCAGTCAGCCATATGCTTATCAGATTGCCACCATTCCTGTTTCTGCTGGTAGCCACTATATTGATTACTGTTGGCAGTTCTGCCTCTTATGTCATTCCTCTAGACTTCCCTGATAAATAAATACCAGTGCCACTATCTTTATTTGTTATTGGTCTCTGATGGTTTTCACTTAACAAGATATTCACAAAAGTGATGTGTAATGCAGTTAGTAAAGTTACCGATCTGTTGTTTCCAGAAGCATTACAACTGATATTTGTTTTATGCCACACGGAAGAGAAAAATTTACATGCATAAAAATTAATTTTATTAGCTATTTCACTGTATTATATTTTGATATTTAAGTAATAAAGCATAAGTGTTGTTGGTTTCAAGGAAACTTGAAAAGGAAGAGAAATTCTGTTAAAAATGTTAAAAGTGGTGGCAGAAATATTTCACTGCTCTGTGGCCGCGAGTCTTCGAGATTGGCGTTGATCATATTAAGAATGATGAGATGAGAAATGTGTACAGTTTTAGTCTGAAAGTCTGAAGTGAAGGAAAGAATACTAAAGAAATAGCGTGTGAAGTTTTGGGTCGGATTTATCTGGCTCAGGATATATTTCATTGTTGTGAAATGTTAAATGAATCTTTGGGTTAGGGAAAAGGCAGAGAATTTCTCGTTTGCTTGGGTGATGCTTCTCAGGAATGACTCTTTACCATGGAGTTTGTAAGTAAGGGAACCCTGATAGCAAATCAGTTGCTGTAGACTAGATCAGTGGTATTCAACCTTTTTTGTTCACGTACCCCCAGATATAATTTCTCTTCAACTTTGTACCCCCAAAGTTGTTGGTGTATAATTCAAGTTATACATAGTATATAATCTACATCTAAAATAAATTAAATAAATTACGTCCAAAATAATGTATTAAATCTGGCCCTGATTATTCAGTGTTTATCGTAAAATAATTTATTTTTAAATTTCACGTACCCCAGGTTGAATACCACTGGATTAGATGATCGAAGTTTGATTCATTGTAGGTATGGGGAGTTTTTTCTGTACAAACATATCAAGAATGGCTCTGAGGACCATCCAACTTCCTATTCAGTGGTTACCAGAATCCCTTTCCTTGAAGATACATAAGCTGAAGTTGCTTACTCCCAGTTAGTACCCAAGTCCAGGATACATGGAAGTTTACCATTACCTTTGATTTTTACATTTTCTTTTTGTCACTGTATTTACTTTAAAGGAACTAGATGCACATTATTCCTACAGCATTTTGTTCAGTGTTTGTCTACGTGTTTCAGGAGAGTGACAATCTTTGGTGGGATGCCTTTGCAACAGAATTCTTCGAGGATGAAGCAACGCTTACTCTCACATTCTGTTTAGAGGATGGGCCCAAAAGATACAGTAAGTACTTCTTCAACAGGATTGTAAATACTTAAGTTTTCTCCTGTATTAATTAGGGGATGGTGATGGGTGGGAAGTAAAACAGGATCACAGTTTGCAGGTTTTCACATTCCTGTGAAACAGAAACACATCATACCAGCATTACCACTGCTATTTTAGGGCACAACTTTCCCAAAATATTATCATTCTTCCTTGCATGACTCTAGTCAAAACAATAACACTTCTATGTTTCAGATGTATATGTTTAAGGGGATTAATTTTGTTGCTTGTATCTTTCCTTATTTTTTTTTTTTTTCCAGGTTTATCATTTTGAGTTTTTTTATGTAATTGTTAGCACTGGTTTCTTCTGTTGTTCAGCCATTTCACTTATTCAACTGCAGTGTTTGATGAAATAGCATACTGTAAAAGATCAGAACTGGTAAAAGCTGTAGAGGGTGAATTCTTGATTGTCATAAACCAGTAATGCAGAGAATGAACTTGTCAGCGTTATTATTCTTGTACCTGTAACGCAAAACATTGCCACATGCAACATATGTTTGCGCTGGCTTTCACTTTTGTTGTTTGTTTTTCCCTGCCATTAATTTTGGTCATAAATGCTGACAGCGGTCAGTATGAAGATTTCTGTCTTCTGGGTTATTGCGCTGTGTAGTCTGGTCGATGTTAACCAACGTTTCAGAGGTCATACTGAATTCATCGCCCTGATGATGGAGGCAGTATGACCTCTGAAACGTTGGTTAACATCGACCAGACTACACAGCGCAATAACCCAGAAGACAGAAATCTTCATACTGACCGCTGTGAAAATCTCAAATCTTACATTTGAATAATATTTGTAAGATCTGTTACAAACATTTTGCTGTTATGAAATACATTCTTTTGTCAGTTAAAGTTTTTGGGTGTAGTGATTTGTTATGACTCTTCCTTCCCAGTATTTGTTCTTTCTGTAATGTAGGATTCACATAAGGAAATTATGTTTTCTATAACATAGCATTTACATAGTTTCCCACTCTTGGTGTTTCAGCGATAGGTAGGACACTCATCCCACGCTACTTCCGAAGTATTTTTGAAGGTGGCGTGACGGATCTCTACTATAACCTGAAACATCCCAAGGAATCCTTCCACACCACGAGTGTTACAATGGACTGTGATCAGTGCACAATGGTGACGCATCATGGCAAGCCAATGTTCACTAAGGTACTGAGACTATTCATTTATGAAAGTAATTTTGTTTAATTTGTGGAGATATATATTTTCAACTACAGTATATCATAAAATAAACCAAGGAAATCAAAAGAGTGTTTTGCCAGTCAATTTTAAAGTGACATGGGTCATAGATTAGTTATATCATTTATGCAAAAAATAAAAATATCGACAAAAAGATTGGCCTATATATAAATGTCATATACCAACTAAAGTGCAAAGATTGCAGAGTGATCATATAAAAATATCTGTGGACTTGGTACATGAGCGTGTTTGTTGTCACACATGATCTGATCAGTCTGAATTTAGTCCACTTTGTATTCATTCGAATGGCAGCATTAACAGGGAGACAGGAAATTGCAATTATTAGCTCAATGTGTATTAAAGAAAAGGGAAATGTGTTCTGACAAAATGCTGATTTTATAGGGCTGAAGTTACAGTAATTTTATCTTTTGATACTCCCCTACTTTTGTGGATGGTGATGGTTATAAGGTGAATGTTTAAGTTGAGTTCTGATATGGTCAAACGTTTCTTGTGTTCATACTTGATGTTTTGGCGTCTCGTCTATTAACATGCCACCTTATACGTTATTCACAAGATCCTAAATAATGTGCCTTTGAGGAACTTGAACCCCAGGATGCAATGTCCTAATTAATCTCTGATACTTTATTATGAACTTACACATCACATAAAATTCATACATGATGCTTTGGTGTGACTTTGTGACGTTGAACACTAAGGGAATTTTGCAAATGACCGAGCCAATCTGAATGTTGCAAGGGAGAATAATACAATGATGTTGACTGACAGCAGTCAGTGCTGTGATTGAGCATAGTGCAAAAGCCTTGCCGCGACGTAGCCATTGGATATCCTCCCCGTATTTTCAAATATTTTACAAAAACTTTAAAATTATATTGGAATAGGGGCCTCTGGTAGGGTCTTGTGAACATAGTAATGAACCTTCAGATAGCACAAAAAGTGGGAAATATTTAAACAAATATTAGTTTCTGAAGAAGTACTCTCTTCCATAGATTTAAATAGTTAATTGTAAATTGATGATAAGTTGTACATGTTACAGCTTATTGGGCGATATTTTGAATATCAAGGCATTTGGTTTTGTCAGGAGGAGGAACCATGTTGTGTTATAAAAATTGTTAAAATAAGTTGCCAATTGTTAATGTAATAAAAACTACAGAATTATTTTGTCTGTACAGACTTGTGCTCTTTGAACAAATATTGTTTAATATTAAATAAAAGTATGGCCTATTTCTTGTTAACATTCTGATATGCTAGGTCTTAACTGTCATATGACATTTCAGGTGTGTACTGAGGGTCGGTTGATCCTTGAGTGCACGTTCGATGACCTTTCACGGATAAAGTCGTGGCACTTTGCTGTGCGATCGCATCGGGAATTGGTTCCTCGTTCGGTGTTTAGTATGCACACCCAACAAGACCCCAGCATGCTGGATCAACTTGCTAAGAACATTACCAGGCATGGAATCACCAACTCCACCCTCAACTACCTCAGGGTGAGTTTCAGAAGGGTGAAAGAGTTCCACAGTGACAGATAAGGTCTTTGTTATGATGATATACATTTGGTTTTATATTTAGAACATGGCTGTAGATAACTAACAGCCTTGATAGTTTACAGGTACTATTTTTAGTAATATATGTATATAATCAAAAACCCTCATCATTCCTGCCAGTCTGAATGCTGTGGTTTTAGAGTGGCATTTAAAAGTCATTAGATTTCTAATTACTGAGCTAATTGTGAAATTAATAATGGAAAACCACAGAATATCAAAACATACCGTACATGTCTAGTGGAATAGAAGATTAGATGATTATAAATAGAGGGAACTCTGAGGTGTCATGGCCTAATACCCGACATGATGATATTTCATTTGATATGAAGAAATAAGTCACTTTCCTTGTGTTTTGTAAAGTGGTATAGTTTGTCATGAGTCGTTGCATATTTTAATTCTGAAATCTGTTTTCTTCTACTGCTGCTAACTCCTTCCCCTGTCATCCTGAGAGGTCATAGCAACACATCTGTGCATGAGGATGCTATTGTTGAGACAGCTAATGCACTTGCCCTTCTTTGTACAGCTGTGTGTCATTCTGGAGCCAATGCAAGAGCTGATGTCCCGCCATAAAGCATATGCACTCAGCCCTCGTGACTGTCTCAAAACAACGCTGTTCCAGAAGTGGCAGAGGATGGTTGCCCCGCCGGGTAAGAGAGGTAGATCCGTCTTGGCTGGTTCTTCTTGGGATGCATGAGGTTTGCATGCTGGCAGGGGGGCTGTGATTGTAGCAGGAAACAAGATTTGTAGCATCTTATATTGCTCCATTTGTGTGACAGGTTACGCAGACATCCTTTATTGTATAATTTCTTCAGTGTTTCTATAAATGTTTGCTTCACTCACTACAAAGTTACTGATTCACTCTTGGAGAAGAATGAAGACTACATATTTTTTTAACATTCATATTTTTATCATGTTGAAGAAAGTTCTGTGCCACATAGCATATTTCATGATACTTTAAACTGTTGTCACAGTGATTAAGCGTAGTCAGTTTTGTGTGAGTGGTCCTTACTTTGTGCATTCAAGCATATTCAGATTAAATTTATTTTATGGATAGCACAAATTCTGTATTTTTTAAACATATTGAGAAGCTTTCTCCATCTTTTAAGAATAGCTAGAAATTTTCAATACTGCAAAGGTTACACAACAGTAAATCCCACATTATACTCCACTTATGTTTGACATAGATTTTGATGGAGATTGGGAATTTTGTACCAAAAGTAGTCAAAAAAAATTTGTTTTTCATCAGTCAAATATAAAACCTAATTTACATATATCTTAAATAAAAGTTTTCCCCCCACCCAGATGATTCATACATAAAATAATTATATGTCAAATTAAGATTACAAGATTTTTAATTTTTCAATGTGGTGAATATTGCGAATGGAGGGCTGGCAACATAAAAAACTACTAACCTTGTTTCCAATGTTTTTGCATGTTGTCTGTATATGGATGTCTTTGATGAAACTTAAGTCAGAGAATTAACTGTCATGTCGTACACTGTGACACAGTTGCTGGGGGTGGAAATAAAACATTTCAAATATTTGCCAATTTGTTTTTGCTGTATTTCTGATAGTAATCAAGGATGGGAATTATCTGTGTGCATTTTTATGCCAGAATGTAACCATCATCATTTGTATTCCATATTTAATGCCTAAAATTCAGTTAATCTGTATTTGTTAAAAGTTAAATTGAAAGGTCTTGCTGCTTTTGTTTGTGTCTGGGCTCAGTTTCCACTTATTTGTATAATATTTTAATTTTTTTAAGCTCTCTCCCATTGTCTTTCTCACTTCCTGTAGGTTAAGGTTCCATGTAGTCTGCAGAAATACATAATCCAGTCCTTAACTTTCAGGCATTTTAGTGGTGTCTATACCAAAAGAGAATTGCTTGTTTATTTTTATAGACAGTTTGTTCTAGTTGACACTTATTTGAACCTCTGATCATGAACGGTAATTCAGGATGTAAATGACAAGGTGGATATCTTGATGTAAACTTTTATATCTTCATGTAAACTCTCATTTGATATTAATGTTTGGAAAATATCCTCTGTGTAGCTTTAGCATTCAAAAATATAATAGGAATGTTTGTTTTTTAATAAAATTTTTGATTATAATGAATTTTTCTCGGGTTACCAGCTGCGTAAGGTGGTTTAATGAAGAAAACACCATTCCAGTCATTTTTATCTCCTGTTGGGTCATGCATCTTTCCAATTTAATATCTACAAAACAATATAACCTCAGTTAGAAATGCTATGTACAGTTCATATTTTTGATATTTTGTAACCAGTCGCTACAGAGCACAAGTATCTCCAAATACTAATCTGATGTCCTTATAATATCACTTAGGGTTTGCTCTGTTTTTCAGACCACATGGAATGGGCTTACTGCCTGTCTGAACCATAGCTCCAGTTATGTCACACAAAATTTCATGCATGCACTGAGAATATTGATGGCAAATATGCTACAAAGTCTGAAATATGAATATGGTGGTCACTGGACTTTGGTACTAAATTGCTAGATCCAGTATTGATCTCACAAAGATGGAGCTTTGTGTATGTTGGAAGTACTGCGCCCCAGTGCTAATTCAGAATTTGTATCCGTTGCCATAATCATCACCACCCTGTTACTGGAAGTTGAATCGTTCTGATGTTTGCTGCTGCCTCAGACGTAGATGGACTTCCCTGTAGTAATTCCATGTTTATACTAAAGCTGTCAACATAGACAGCATTAGGTACACTCTCCATTGTTTGCATATGCTAAAGCTCTGTTCTTTAGTGCACAAATGCATGAGGTAGAAATACACCTCTTTCTCTGTCAATAATTTGGCCAAGACGAAAAGTAATATGTGATGTACGGATCGTTGGGTTTTGTGCATCTGCATTCTAGTGTCTTGGTAGTCATGCACACTTCTGTGTCCTCATGTTTCATTGTAGCACAAGATACTTTAAGCCTATTTTAAAGGGTTTTTTTTTTACAGCAGTGACATTAGAGACTATTTATTAATCAAGAATAAAAATTGAGAACAGTGATGGTTATTTTTGGGACCACTATTTAAATTTCACTGTGTATACTTTTATTGGGATGCAGTTTTGTGAACAGTATGTGTTTTATGAAGAACAATTAATGTTTCAATTTATACTTTCATTTTCTGAAATTTGATTAAGAAACAATTTTATAAGGCTGTATCTATTCCAGATATCTGCTTCTTTTAAAATATTATAAGCATTTATAAAATGGATTTAATCACCATAATTTGTGATAAACTAGTTCTGTGGCACTAGTCTTTTCAAAGTCAGAAGAAGAGTATTTCCAAATTGACATATTCTAAAAATATGGGAAAATGAATCTCTGCTTGTGATTGATTAAAAATATTTTATGTTGAAAAGTTAAGGTTTTTCTTATTCTTACCAATGTTATATCCACATATTTTCAGTCAGAAGTGGCAAGTAAGAAATGTTTCTACAAAAACTGCCATCCTTCTCTTATATGAAGTCTGTACTGAAATAGGATTACTTATTGTCACATCAGCAGCACAAGTTGCTTGGTGTTAACTCTACGATTGTCGCTTGTCTGTGTGTGCCTTCAGAATCACAGCGACCTGCCAACAAGCGGCGGAAACGGAAAGGCTCTCAGTCGGGTGGAGCCGCAAACAACGCCCCTCCTGCACCTAGCAAGAAGAGGTCTCCTGGACCGAACTTTTCCTTGGCATCACAAGTAAGTACCAATCCCATAATATAGGTGATAGTAATACCTACATGCCATGTTCAAACTTGTGAGGTGGGTTGATGATCCTGTGTGGTGACATTTCCCATGATCTTCAATTATTGTCATCACCAGAGATGATATCCTCGCCTGTGACATCCAACAGTATACATTTAACTCAAGGACAACTTAATGGATTTTTGTGGAATTTAATATGAGCATTATGCCACTGGAGGTTACTCGAGCCTCATGCTTTTTTTTTCTTACGATTTACAATATCACGTAGATGGATGCTTAAAATTTGTGAACTGGGTCAGTGATTCTTTATAGTGACAACACTGCCCATCATTCTGCCACCAGTTGGTTGCTACATGAATTGTTAGTCCTGCCATCTATATATATACGAGGGTCGCTCATTAAGTAATGCCCCACATTTTTTTCCTCAGAATATATTTATTCAAGATGGCTCAAATTTAGTGACAATATAAATCAATGTTTCCTTTACACATACTATTTTTCCACATAGTCCCCATCAACTTGTACGGTTTTACGCCAGCGTGGAACAAGTGCATGCATGCCTTGCCGGTACCAGCTCTTGTCCTGTGCACGTAGCCATGTCCTCACTGCTTGAATCACGCTCTCGTCATCTTCAAATCTTGTTCCGCGGATAGCATCTTTAAGTGGCCCAAAGAGATGAAAGTCGGAGGGTG